CTTATTGGTGGATCAGCTGTCCAGGGGGCCACCATACTAATGAATTCAGACATTAAAATAATTAAAGAGCACTGGAAATCTGGGAGTTTTAATTGCTATACGCTCTATGATTTCCCCTCCCTCTGTTTCTATTTCTGCCTTTATTTATCTCCTCATACCTGCAGTCCCTGATGCTATAACTTCTACCTGTCTCCTTGTATTTGTGGGATATTAATGTGTTTATGTGCTTTAAGAAGCTGCACAAAAGGGGAAAAAAAACAAAATGTTCCCCAAAAACCAGACGGCTGCTCTGACATGCTGCAGTCCAGTCAAGTCAAACCGAGGAGGAGAGGCAGGTGTGAACAGAGACAATAGCAAGAGAAAGTGTGTGTGTGCATGTATATATGTGTGTGTGTGTGTGTGTGAGAGAGAGAGAGAGAGAGAGAGGGAGAGAGAGGGAGAGAGAAAGACAGAGAGAGAGAGAGAAAGAGAGAGAAAGAGATGGAGAGGTGAATTGAGGAGATGTGTAGGGAGTGGCACCGGAGAGAAAGCGAGAGGTGTGGAGGGACAGAGTGGGGGATGGGAGCAAAGAAGGAGGGGCAGCGTGGGGGATGGGGGAGAGAAATATTGCTGTGTGCTGCTGGAGTCAGGGGGTTACCATGGTGATGGGGGAAAGACGGAAAGGGATGGGAGAGAGAGAGAGAGAGAGAGACACGCATATACACACTTACACATAATGCAAATTGACTTTTTCACCGACTGATTGAATAATATGATAAGCATCAAATCTCCTTTTAATTTAAATCTTCCTTCCTGTTCTCTCTGGGTGGGGTGGGGGGGGGAAGGAAAGGGGCATGGGGAGGAAAAGACACTGCAGAGGGAGGAAGGAGAACGGGAGATAAAGAGGGAGGCTCTCTGAGTTGAGTTGAGACGGAGAAATGCGATCTCCCACCTGGGAGTGGTGTAACTTGGAGACAGAGTTGTGGCTTGTTGGGTGAAGGGCAGAGAGACGCAAAAAACGCTGAGTATATGTCACCACTCTTTTATTCACACTGGAACAGGTTGCCTGCGATTATACAAAACATTTCATTGCAAAAACATGTCTATGAACAATGCAACATTGATCAGAAAAGTTGCTGGGCAATCAGACATTTTAGGGCACAAGAATCAAAATCCTGGAAGGATTGACAAGTCGCACAACGTAAAATGAGTTCGAAAACCCTGTTTGCATGATTCAGATATTAATTTGTAGCGTTATTTGAGTTGGTAGGTTGATATTAGCATAAAGCTAACGCTGGGTTAACAGAAAATAATTGCATTAATATCTGAATCATGTAATCTCTGCACTATTGTTTTATAGCTGCTTCATTGTACACAGAGCGACAGGAACTCCTGATATAGGAGTTAACTGTGGGACTGAACTAAATCCGAATTTTGGAATTTAACAAATGGTGTTGTTGATCATTTCTATTGAGAGAAATTGAACTTTTTTGGAACTCATTTGTTGCTCTGTGCGACTTGCAGCATTCGTGTATTTGCTTGTTATTCTGTTTCCTGCACATGTGGGTGAAGATGTTCTGTCTATTTGTGTGTCATCATGTGTTCCCCGGAGTATGATTTTCTGCATATCTAAGAGTTTGTGTCTTAAACGTTCATCCCCGGATCGAGAACAAGCTGCTGGAGAGCACAGCCACCGGGCTCGACCTCACACCTTGAAGATCAAGAGGATGCGGGTTATTATGTGAAGAGCCAAAATCAAAGCGCAGGGTACCTTCTTCTACCTGCCAGCAGGGATTAGGTGTGATGTGAGTGGCTGTTGAGGCTGCTGGGTGTCGGCGCTCTCGGTGGATTGGCAGCAGCTGGAATGAAACAGAGTCTGAGGAGGAGAGCCAGACGAGCCTCTGGGTTGTGGTGGGTGTGCGTGGGTGGGTGGATGGATGTGGTGGGCTCAAGAGAGAATGTGTGTAGGTGGGTGGATGAATATGTGTGTGTGTGATGATGGGTTAAAACATTTTAGTGGAAATAATTTACATAATGTAGAGTCATTTTCTATTTAGGCTGATTATTGCCTCGGGCCTCACAAAGTTTTATAGCCATGTTTTCAAGAGGAGCAAGAATGGCAAGTCAAAATACTTTCATTCACTATATAAATGTAGAAATACTCATTTAAAGATATAATACATATAATTTTCTGCATTAAACATTGTATAAGCTCTAGCTCTATGTTCTCTATGTAGTTGTGTTCTCAAATTATCCCAAATGTTTCCAACAATGTTCAAACTCAGAGAAATCTGTCATT